CATGAACTATGTGATATGTTTAGCCCTACTTCAAAAAACAAAGAATTCACTGTTCTTTCCTCCAGATCTGGGTTCATATATTCTTTGTCAATGTACTTACAGAGATCAGAAAAATTATCAAATTCTCTTCTCAACTATTTGACTTATTTGTATTCATAAACATTAGTCCAGGTTCTTCTGCTGAAAAATAAATCCACGAAAGTCAGGGGCTAATTCAAAAAGACAAATTTGGGCACTGTAGTGCTTACAGCACAAGATGAGATCAATGCAGGCATATGTATGTAAGTGGTTAATGACAGACTTTCTCCAGTAAAGCAAGCATTAAATCTGACCCAGAAACTATATAATAGTTTTCAGCTAATGCTATTCTTAGAGTACATTTTCTTACCTCTTCAGATTCAGATTCAGATTCAGATTCTTACCTCTTCAGCTTCAGACTATTACAAAAACTTGTTATGTTGAATATAGAATGTGCAGAGAAATTGGCATTTATGATCTCAGATGTCTTGGGAAACCACGTGAGCTAGTCCTAATCAAAAGATGGCTGCTATCTGCAAAAATGTATCATAATGACATTTCAATCACATACAGATCTGCTCTTCATAAAATGTCAGCTAGAATAGGTTTCACACCAAGACTTCAAGATTTTCCTCTGCTCAGGATGCTTAAGACATCTATACTGCATTGACCGTGGTGCCAGTATGTGAACTTCTTGGTATTGTCAAGCATTCAGCAGTGAAGTCACAAATATGCCTACTGACAGTGTACCAGAATGGTGACAGGAGAAGTAATTCAATCTTATTCATTTCCTTTTTTAATCCAGAATTTCCTAATTGATAAATAGTGCCTGAGAATTAAACACAGCGAATGTGTTTTTAAAAGATAGTGTGCTTTATTCCTTAATTCTTAATGAAATCTTACAAATTGTTCATAGTGAATGTTTAAGTGATGTTTTCCATATGAAAAATGTTCATTTTTGGAATGTGTGTTAGCATACAGGCATTTTAGTGTTGAGCCTAAGAACCTATTGGGCTTCGTACAAGCACAATGGGAAATGTCTTCAGCTTGCAACAACCTGCAGTCTGGGTATAGAAAAAAACAGATCAGGAAAAGGAAATATGATGTGATAGCATTGATTAATGGGCTCAAGAGCAGTCAGAAGACATAGTTTAACTGTTGTCCTATTTTCAGTGGTACTGTAGAAAAGAAAAGCCTTTAAGGAAGAATTTGAAGGTCGATAAAAATGATGTCCCTTCTATTTATGGGGAATTTCCCCTTCAGTGATGGACAACATAGAAGGAAGGCTTTTGATACTGCCTCAAGGCTTTTGATGCTGCCTTCCATAGGCAAGCTCAGGAAGTGAAGGGTGGGTGGGTGGATGGTGAAATGGATTGGGAACTGGGTGAATGGCAAATCTCTGGGGGTTGTGATCAGTGGCACAGAGAATATTCTTCTCAACAGAAAAGAACACCTTGAAATTCAACAAAGACTTACAAAGTCTAACACCTGGGGAGGAATAACCTTATGCATGAGTACAGGCCTGGAAAAGAGATGTCTCAGGGGATTTTGATCAGTGTGTATAAGTATCTGAAGGGCAGGTGTCAAGAGGATGGGGTCCAGCAATAGGAAGAGAGGCAATGGGCACAAAATGAAACACAGGAAATTCTGAATAAATAAGAGGAAAAAAACTTGTTACTGTGGAGGTGAAGAAGCACTGACACAGGTTGCCCAGGGAGGTTGTGGAGTCTTCTTGAGGTCCCTTCCAATCTGGCTATTCTGTGATTCTGTGATTCTTCCATGGAGACTCAACAATCCTGGGTAATGTGCTCTAAGGAACTCTCCTTGAGGAAGGAGACTGGAATAGTTGATGTCCAGAAGTCTCTTTCAACCTCAACAATTCTGTGATTGTGTGAAGCTAGGAGATGCTTTGTTTAGAAAAGAAACAACACAGGATGACATCATGGGCTTAGATATGGTAATCTACTTCAACAATGAATGCAAAACTGTTAGTGGGATGACACATTGCTTTGAAAACTGAGTGCAGCTTGCATTTAACTACAGTGATTTCCACAGCAAGAGAGAAATCAGAAGCAATACACAAAGAGTAGAAGTAACATTATCAAAGCAGGAAGACAGGAAATGATCTTGCAGTTTTCGTTTGGGTGGATCTTGTATGTTGAAGACTACCAGTTAGGGCCAAATAAAAAAGTGACTTCATGAGAGGAGATCACAGATGAATGCACTATCTCCAAGGATGGAAAAGGAAATTTGTATCTTCAATTTATCTTGCAAAATTTAGACTTAGATCAGAATGTTAGGTTGTAATAAAAGTTGAAGACTGATTGGGTTATGGAGTTGAATGACTGGAAAGTGAGAGGGTTTTATTTTATAACTGAAAAGGGAATGAAAATATCTTTAAGAAAAAGGTTTAGAACTACTTTTCGGACACCAGCCTGAAAACTGAGACCAAGATTAGTTTAGATAAAAGGAGGTAGGTTTGTGTTGAAGAGTCATTTCTGGGGCTCAGCAACAGGGAGGCAAGAGTAGATTGCTTTCATGCATCAAAAGAGGGAGAACCAAAGTTGGTTACAGAGAATCCTCAAATACTTCCTTATATTCAGAAATGAAAATATCTTTGGTTCCTCTTGAAAAACAGTGGTTTGACTATTTTAAAGCTATCTGTGTGGCCTTGCTGTATTTCATATTGCCCTGGAGAAGATTTGCCCTACACAGAATTAATAATGGCAGAAGTGGTTTTGTTCTGTTGCATAGTCCATACAGTTTTGTCTCAGTAATGCAGTGATAAAGTATGTGACACTGGGCACTATTTAGTAGTATTTGGTTAGCTAATTGCAATGGAGACAGCAAATTCATAGAATCATAGAATCACCAAGGTTGGAAAAGACCTCAAAGATCATCCAGTCCAACCATCCACCCATCACAAACGTTTTCCACTAAACCATGTCCCTTAGTACGACTTTTAAAAATTTCCTGAACATATCCACAGACAGTGACTTCACCACCTTCTTAGGCAGCCCATTCCACATCTCACCATTCTTTCATAAAAGATTTTCCTAGCATCCAATCTGAACTTCCCCTGGCATGACTTAAGCCATTCCCTCTAGTCCTACCATTAAGTGACATGGGAAAAGAGGCCTACCTCCATCTCACCATAGCCTCCCTTCAGGTAGTTGTAGAGAGCAATAAGGTCTCTCTTGAGCACAGAATCATACAATCAAATTCCCTCAGCTACAAGGAAACAGAATCACAGTCTGTGGTTGAAATGAGTTGAGTCTGTTGATTCTTTGAGCATAGAAAAAGATATCAAGCCACTCACACCTTGGGTTTCCTTCTAAAGACTGATGGCGTCCAGTGTGACAGATACTTAACATAACACATTTATGAAATCCTAATGTAATGAAATAACACATTATAGGAGATTAGAACAATTAAAAAGGGAAAAACACTGCATTTTCTTAAACAGTCCAATGCATCAAAAATGCATAATTCTCCAGTTCATGACACATTTCGTGGTGTTCAATATAAAAGTGCAAATCACAAGCATTTCACCACTTTCTTTTGAATGTCCTAATACACAAACAACACTGGAAAACAATTCAGTGAAGAGCCTGGAAAGTGGTACAGCTTTATTACTGCAAATAAAACATTTTCCAAGTACATGCTGCCCTCTTGCGTGCAACTCAGCACTGCCTCCAACAAGCAGCTTGCAATTCATCTTAAAACTTCAGCAATTTGTGGCTGTTATAACACAGATAATGGAGAAGCAAGGATACAAACGGGGCACCAGGGTTAGCTCCCAAAGGTTAGCTCTGCCTTAGCACTGCTCGTGCCAGACAGAGGTGGTGAACCAAAAGTCTTTGCCTGCTTCAGCTGTAGGTTAGAATTACAGAATTACGTAACAGTTTGGGTTAGATGGTAGAGATAATCTATCTACAACCTGCCTTCCAAGGGTGCGGACACCTTCCACTCAACTAACTTATCCAAAGCTCTACCCAACCTGGGCTTGAGCACTTTCAGGGATGCATCCACATCTTCTCTGGTGTGGTGGAACACGCTGCCCGTTCCAGTGCCTCAGCACCTTCACAGAAAAGAATTTCTACCTAATATCAAATATAAATCTTCTCTCTCCAGCTTAAAAACATACCCCTTGAACACTACACTCCCTCCCAAAGAGTCCCTCCCCAGCATTTCTGTATGCCTCCCTTTAAGTACTGGAAGGAAACAAGGTCTTCCTGGAGTCCTCTCTTCTCCAAGCTAAACAAGCCCATCTCTCCCAGCCCTTCTTCAGAGAAAACGTGCTCCAGCCCTATGAGCTTTGTGGCCCTCCTCTGGAACCACTCCAGCAGCAGCATGTCTTTCTTGTGCTGCGGGCCCCAGGCCTGGATGCAGGTTCTGTAAAACTCCTTGTCATGGGCAAATATGAAGCACCAACAGATCTGGCTCTGCATCCCTGTCACAATCAGTCTGCAAGCAAAATAAACAATTCAAAGTAACTAAGATTGTCCAAGAAATGATTGATTCCTTTAGCCAGTAGTTATTTTTTCTAATTAGTTTCTTATGAACAAGATGAGTTCCATGCACACACATGCTGAAATACTTACTTGTGCTGAGACAATTTCCATGCTGGAATATTTCTTGACCCTTATCAAGATTCTTTTTTTTCTTTTTTTTTTTTTTTACTAGAACTGCAAAGATACTACTGCATTCCTGTACAATCACATCTCACCCTAATAAAGACTTTACTCACTACTACTAAATTCTTCTTCTTTATTTTTTTTTTAGTTTGCCCTTTTAATAAAAACAGATCCTCAAGAAAATTCAGAGCTAAATCCATGGCAAAAGAATGGCCTGGTAGCTTCATACATATTCTCTTTTTCCTACTGTGTCACATTTGCACTTGCAGAATTTGAACATTAAATTGAAAAAAAAAATCTTAACATCACAGTAAGTTTGTTTAAAAAATAATGCTCACCTGTGTTCTGGGCATATTATGGCATGTTTTTTTAAAAAAATTCAGATGAACTTAGTTACTAGTTGCAAAAATGCAGCATAATATCAATGCTACGTAATAGGAACTCCAGAAGTTTAGTAGATGACAAATGCTAAATTCTGACAAAGCTTACACTGCATGCTCAAGAACAGTATTATTGCTGAAATAGATTCTTTATTTCTGAAACATTCCAAAACAGCAGTATACACAGTTGTAATCAAATATTAAGTCATATACCATTATAAGAAAGCATTGATTAGTGCAATTGGATTTTGTAAAAGATCTATCAAAAAAGATTTATTCACATTAAAACTCATTTTACATAAGCAACTGTTAATAAAACATTACAGTTTTATTCTTTGTAATAAAGTACTGAAAACCAAACATAGTCATAGAGATCACCTTATCTTTGTAAGTGCAGTGTAACTTACGATGCCAATTTAAATACAAAACACAATGACAATAAATTAACAATTGAACAAATGGTGAAAGACCAACAAAACCATGCTGACCCTGCTGGATGGCAGTCTCCAGTGAGTGCTACTTTTTTTGTGCTTTCGCAACATAAATACACTGCTTTGTATTGCCAGTGGTACAATTTTGTAAGATATGTTCCTAGTGCTAAAAAAGTACATTACCCCAAAAATATTATTTATGGCACAGAAAAGTTAAATCATCTCTCTGTTGTTCAATTCAGGCAAGTTTAAATGAACTCAAGTATACAAAATAAAATATACTGGAAACACTAAAAAAAAATCCAAGCACATACGTAAGTCCCTCCAAAATTCAAAATAAAATACACAATGCCTTTATACTGAATAAATTATCTTAGTATTTCAGTATAGCAAAAAACTGCCCCAGAATCCTTAACTCCAAGTTCTTTCTAAGGAAATATTCTGGTACTTTGCACATATGTAGTACTTTCTTCAGTTCTACACAACAATTCTGCCATTGTTAGTCTGACGCAGCTGTTCAGGAAACTTATTAAGTGCAATATTTAGTATTTTATAAGATGTTCCTTTTTAAAAAACAGCATTGCATTATGGATATTTACACATTAAAATCCCAGGGGACATAATATTGCGTGATGCAATTCCCAAAACATCCTTTTCCAAAACATTGTTACCCAGCCAGCTGGGTATGAAATCTGCATTACTTATTTTCCACTGTTCATGGGCATTGTTCATCAATAGCAGCCGTCTCTCCAGTTCCCATCCCGCATCGTGGTAAGTGATGAAAGTGGCTTTGGAGGCTGAAGAAAACTATGGAACAAATGACAGAAAAAGACAACGAAAGTCATATTTCACATGAAAGATTGAGGTACAAAAATATGATGTACTTCAGTAACGACACTGGCTTTGTGGCTTGCTCGGAGACATCACTATGGTATAATCCTGGCTCCATGCAAAGGCAACTATAGAGATCTATGGTGAAATTAAGACCTCCAATGAAATCCCATTCTGTTACTGGATAAAAGGTTTGCAGAAAGGAATTTACTGAATAATTCTCACATGAAGCATGAGATCCCCCTAAGTAGGAAGACTTGATTCTTCAGAGCTAAGCATGCTGAAGAATATAAACACAAATGTAAACTTATTTTTATCACTATGGACAACAAATCTTCCAATAGTGACAGATAACAGAGATGTAATGGGAAATATCCTCCAAAAAGCACTACTGCTCATTATACTTCCAAAAAACCCAAACACACTATGCAGGCACTAACAAATTAAAGCATCTTATCAAAAGAAGAACTGTATCAAGCCCTGTTCCAGAACTTCCTATTCAAGAGATAAGATCTCCATCACTCAGCCAAATTCAGAGAGCTGCCACTTCCTACACCACTGCCAGTGCAGAGAGCTAGCAATCCTTCAGCCACACACTCTCACACTTGGGCTCTAACTCTCACTAACAAGGACTGCTTAAAAAACCATTACTGGCCAACTTCCAAACCTTCCAGGTTTTTATTAGCAAGGTGACTGTTTCAAGGACTATTAAAAAATAAACACACAAACAACTATCTAACTGACCTTACTACCAATCCACTAATGATAGGCAACCTTATTTTATTTACATCACAAGTTGCTGAAAACGAAGTGTCCCAATTCTGTAAAACTGCTTCTTAAAAAACCAAGTCCTGAGCCTTCTTTTCTTCCTTCTTTGCATTTCCTTTAGCAGTAAGTTCCGTAACTTACTGATGCCTTCTCTCCCTTCCAAATGCCCTTGCACAAAAGAGACATTCTGTGTTAGCTGAGACTTGCCTAGTCACTCGAGAACTGTCTGGAAACTGGGACCATTGGCTGACAACTAGTCCCAGCGCTGCTCTGCTCTTGTTTGGGGGCTGTGGGATAACAGGGCTGTTGCAGATGGCTTCCAGCTCACTCTGCTCATGCCATCATGCTCCTGAGTGAAGATGGAACATGGAGGACCAGCAAGTAGGGGAAAGAAGTTGGGAAGGTGGATCCGTAAACCTAGTGCCAGAGTGTGAACTTGGAGAAAGCTGGGGACTGGGGCATCCATTTAACAGGGAAAAAATGCTGCCTTGCTTAAAAGATTGAATGCAGATGGAATGTACTCATCACAAGTTATTTACACCACTTTTGGATGCTTTAATCTCTGACAGTAGGAGAAAGGCAAGTAACATTTAGCCACGTTGATTATCTTGGCTATAAATTGTCCCTTGTGTTTGGTTCTGAAGTGAAGTACTGAAGTTTCCTAACACGGGGCCTACATAAAGTGCCAATTTATTTTATGCAGAATACCAGTAACTTGGCTACATAAAAGTCTGGCTATAGGTAAAAAATAAACAGCTTTATTTTGAAAGAACAATTCTTCCTGAACATGTGATTTATTAAAGAAAAACAAAAAAATATATTTTCCACTTTCAATGAAGTTATGATTAAAAACAGTTTTATTTTATTATATACTAATAGAAGCTAGACTCTTCAAAAGATAATCAAAAATACTGCTCCTCAGAAATGACCATAGTGACAAAGTCAACACTGAGAAAATCTTCCTCTTATGGTTGACTTCCGTCCAAGAAAGTTTCAGATGCACTGAAGCCACACTTATTTTTCAAATGAATAAATAAAATGAAAGTAGGATCTTAAAGTTGTTGGCTGAGGTCCAACCTGTGCTTTTTGAGACCTATAAACTTGTCATTTACACAGTGATAACACTATATATCTTCCAGCATTGTTGGCAACGTATGACACTGCAATTTACTTGCAGATGGGAAGATATAATTCCAGACTTCCTGGACTAAAAACAGAACTGTTACCAATCTGAACCAGCTTCTAATAAAAATGGTGTTGAGAGTAGGGTGTTTTGCCCTCTTACTGAAATCTCTTAATTTTGTTTTTCTTTAACATTGTCTGTTGTATGAAGTTACAAAATAGCAACAGACAAGGCCTTGTTGCCCAGAAAGTCTCTGTCTCACATGTTGCTATGAAAGATTTAAGAGCTCTGCAGAACATGAAGTTGAGGAAAAGAAAAAAAAGACAAAAAAAAAAAAACAAAAAAACCTTTACTATAAAGAACTCTAACGGAGAGAATTCCAGCAGAGAGGAGAGAAGGTTATAACAGAAATCTCATGATATAGTCTTCATCAAAGAAGAAATCTGACAGCTCTTTATCAAAGTTTCACCACAGTTGGTCAAAATCTGTTGTCAGTCACTTTGGTGTAATCCCTGCGTAACTCAAGCAAACAGAGAATATGAGCAATTGAAATTGCCAGTATCTATTGAAAAACACAGGAATAGTGAGAGGTAAACAGAGATAGTTCATCCAGCAGAGAAGTAGGCAGTGATACAGCAGGCTTTCGCAACAGGGGGGATGCAGGCAATGGGAAAAACAGCATAAAGACTTGACACTAGTTGATAAAAGTTTCTCTCTGACAAACTTCAACTTATTAATCACAGAATATACAGCTAGAAGTTTAACTCCCATCTGCGATAAGGTGATGAAAACATAGTTTCTTTTTTTAGGCTTATTTTACTGCTTATCCTAAAAAATTACTTGGAAACAATCTCTAGCAAAATGTAAAATTAATTTAATTAGCAATATAGCTCACTGCAAGTACACAGTACTTCAGGATTCCAGGTTTGCCTGTTGTTTCCCAGCTGTAACTGAAAGGATGCTGGTTCGACACAAGACCAAGCCATGCAAGATATCTCCTTCCTCATATTCCAACGCTGTAACATCACAGGTTGCATTTTTGAAGTCCACTGCTTTTAACAATAGGCATGCATACCTATTTGCAAGCTTATCCTATGAGCTTGGATCAGCAATTGGCACAAGTCTGGAAGATGGTGAGTCAGATACACTAATTATATGAGATGTTTTGATTTCTTACTGATGAGTAGCAATCCATTCTTACATAATTACATTCTAGCAAGTATCACAGTTTACTACCAGTAGACACTGTCCACCACTGTTTGTGGAGATAAATCTTCACCCGTTCACTGACTCAGCACTGGAAGCTAGAAATGTCTCTCCTTTATAGCCCAGCTTCATACTCCATGGGAAAAAAAAACAACACAACTAACTAAACAACTATCTAAATAAAATCTAGCTACAGAAGAAAGGTAGCCTGTTTAATTCTTACCTTCTAACTGGCTGTGCAATTTTACTTCTGGGTATGCCACTCCCATTGATGGCCAACGAGGGTCTTGGAAGAGCACTGCGCCCCAAAATCCCTTGACTGGCAATCTTGTTTGGCATTGGGATACCAGTATTAGAATGTAACTGTAGATTGTTGGATCCTGGAATACTACTACTACCTTGTACAGTTGGGCTTACATAGGCAGTAGCTTTGAGAGGCTGCCTAACAGACACTGGAAAATGTCCCACACTGTGAACTCTGTGTTGAAGCTGTCCAGGAGATGGAACTGTTAAAAGAGAAGTAGAAAAGGAAGTATCATGGTCAATATGCAGCGAACAAGGCAAGGTAATAATGCTCATCTCAAGACAGATTTAAATGCAGATAAACACATCATTATGCAATTAACTTGCTAATTATGAACTGCTGAATAACCCCTTGGATCCAATACTGCATCTGGTGACACTGCATTGATCTAAAATATCCCATTCCATCCCCACACCAAACTAAAATTCTATCCCTTATTCACCCTTCTTTCTCTCTCTCAAAGAAGTTTCATTAGTCATTAAAAGCAAACTAATTCCACTTATGCAATTGCAGCTTTGAAACCACTGAAAGTATATTAATTACTGTTAGATTATTCAGACGTTTACAAGGTTGTCCATAATAAAAACAATCAAAAAGCCATGAAAAGGTCTGAAATATAACAACATATTCCATGGCCTATGTTATGTAAACTATCATTTTAAATCAATGCTACCCATTCCAGAAGCTTTATCTACACAATCCTGCCCTCTGGTGTACATCAGACAAACATCTGTTTCAGAATTCATGTATCTAAAGCAAACCATCAAAAGCCTGAAGCACTTAAACTAACTACAGCACACAGGCAAATCTTTTTTCAACTCTTTGAAAAAAAGCATCTTAAAACCATTTAAAGACATGGAAGAAAATAAAGATGTGTGATTCAGTTAAACAAGACTAGCAGTGTATTGCTATGGAATCTCTCTCATAACACAGCTCCTTACAGACCCCAACAAAGCCACCTGGTAAATAATGTATTTTAGAAGAGTTACCTGTTACACACATATGTATACATACATACATAAACACACAGATAAACATATATTTTAAAGTAGTAAATAAAAAAATTCTCAACACACTAGGAAGTGTTTCAAGTGTTTCAAGGACCATGAACATCTTTTCATTCTCCTACAAGACATGGATGAAAAGAAAGAAAAATAAATCCAGCATAAGAAATATCAATTTAATCGTTCTGAAGACTTTTGAAAATTTAGTTGTAATTTGAAGGAAAATACCACAGCACTTCTGTGCCAATTTCTCCCTCAAAAACTTCACAGGCAATGGGAGGCAGAATTCAGTTCCTTCTGTCTGTGTCAAACAACATTCACTTTTTCCACTTCCCACAAGAATACCTCAATTATTGTGCTAGAAAAGACTGCCTTGGTTCTTGATCTATCTTGTTGACATTCTACATGAATAATTCAACAAATGACAGATCAATACTGTCATCCTGCCATCTAGAAGTCAACTAAATTAAACCAATTACAGAGTCATTTTAAGTCATTCACTCAACATGTAATATATACTTGAGGATATAACCCTCCATTTGCCACAAAGTGGCTCCAGTTCAACAGGAGAGAGGTCATGTGTTTTAAGACAATGTAGTGTAATGTAAATACAGAATTGTGCACATTACTGAGAAAAACAGTGTTTTAAATGTTAGTATCAAAGCTAAAAATCTAAGCCTATATGAATTAGCTCCTTTATTGGTGCTTCTATAATACTACCACTGTATTACTGTAATTTTAATTTTAAAGTAGTAAAAAATGAGTGGGCAAAGAAAATAAAGGTTGTGATGAAACCCTCAGCACTGCATAAGAAGATCAGATGGAAGATGCTTTCCAAAATAGCAGCTTTAAAATCTGGAGCTATATTAAAATCACTATAAAGGGAATGCAGTCTGCCTTTAATTTTTCATAAATTGAAAAACTTATGGAAGCTTTCTAGTGGCTGGAAGATATACTTTACCATTCTGTCAACACCTTACACAAAGCCAAAGAACACAAGTACTTACTACATGACTGCATCCTTGAAATCCCATTACTTGCTCCATGTAGATTGGAATCAAAGCTCTGACTGTTCCTCACTGTGACTGGAGAACTAGCAAAGCCAGCAGTATTGTTAATGGTGGGGGTACTTGGCATCCGAGCTAGATTAGGCATGCTTCTTCGGAGTTTATCTGAAGTGAAAGAGCACAATATTCACAGTCATGTCAGAATTTAGCAACAAATGCAAAGAGTCTCTGAATCATTTCTGTAAAAAAATCAAAATTAAAACCAAGTTGATTCAACACAAAGAAAGGTTTGGGTCAATAGGGACAATATGAATACATTATTATTAGCCCACTAACTGAGTCCTTCTGATTACTGTAATATCACAGTTATTCACAAATCATTTTAAAAACACCAACACGGAGTACATTTCAGGGATTACAAAGACTTAAACGCTAAAGTGTCATAATAAGAAAGAGTTCAATGTAAATGTGTAAAATAGGTCAGATGAATCATGCCCTGAATGCGCCTGTTTCTTTGAAGTGAATAAAAAGCACGGCTGAAGTGACAATCAGACATGGATATTTATATTATGGATGTCTAAAGACACATTTCTGCAGGGTGGCCGTGCTGAAAACCTGTTCAGTCTTGATACTGGCATTTGCTTGGAGACCTGGGCTGACATCACGATTTTCAAATCTGATGGGTTTGCCTCCTGTCATACTTATGGTGGACATTTTCCAAGGCCCTGCACAGAAAGAAAGCTGGAAATAGATGTATGGGGGCAGGATCAGTTGCTAATGTAAGTATGGAATTAACAGGTCATTCAATAAATCTTCTTTGATAATAGCACTGGCCTCTTGGCAAGGTTCAGTAGCAAAAATGCTGTGCTGCTGGCTTGTCGTTATGTTTTTTCTGGTACCAGGGTCAGCATGGAGTCTGCCAGCTACTGATCTGCAGTAGGTTCCAATGCACAGTAAAGATCTGCCTCTAGCTCTTCCACTGCAGTGATGTGCTTTTCTTGTAAAAGGCAGCCACAACTACCCTCTTCAATGGCAAGCGGGACAATTTAAGATTGAAATTTGGATTTATGCACGGGAATAATACATCACATATGGCTTCCAACTGCTGTTTCAGGCTGACCTACTAATTCACATGGGGATAAGGTCAACATACAGAAACTGAACTGTTTCTTAGGAGTCTCTGTTAATCAGCTCGCATAAATACATAACCTATTTAGCACTATAATGAGCTCCTCTAATCCTTAAATCTGCTAACAACTAATGAGTAATGAGAATTGACAGTACAGTTCTATCTATAAAATGTATTAGCAGTCACTAACTTGAGTACGTATGTTGCCTATGTACCTCCAGCGAACTGAGTCATATTGCAAGGCTATAACTGTAGCTGTCGTATATGAATTGTCATTATGATAAGGTTCAGTACAGCATTCTCCAAATTGTGAAAAACATGCTTGAATTTCAATGGTCCAGCATTTTGAATACCCTCGTGTCCCAGCTCCCAGTTACCACTGCCTACCTGTACTTTTTGGTCTTCACATTCATCCCAGCTAATGCTGAATTTCAATTACCATAGTATGGTCTGAGATAGAAAACCATTGCCATCTATGAAATAGTTTACATAGACCTATTTATTTTACTGAAATCAAACTGTAAGTATGGAAAGCAAAATAGGGAGGTGTTCATCAGAAGCAAATACAAGGTTTGACTTTCCAGAAACTAGAGTACAGTCAAATTCTGATAAATCAGAATTTTAAAAGGTAACCCTTCATTAAAGAATTAAAGCTGGTGTGCTTCAGTGACTCATCACTGACACTGGCAAACAAAGAGATTACCACTGTGATTCACTCAGGCAGTAAAAAATAATTTAATTGGTATAAAAATGGCACAATCTAAGGTTTCCAAAATCATACTGAGGATGTGAACGATGGCATCTATATAGAAACCATTTCTGAAATACTCATTTCAGAAATGAGTATTCAGAAATTTCAGATTTTGCAAATCGGAAAGGTAACTGCCTTCCTACGGTAACAGTTTCGGCCCAGAGTTGCAGAGAACTCACAAACAGGAGTTGTCTGTAGCTACAAAATGGCAAAAAATGTGTGGTAGGATAGTGGTAGGGAAGATGACACTACATAAAACAGATTTTTGTCGAATACTATCCACATATCATCTAGTACAAGCAGAATTCCTAGGAATCTACACGTTCTTCCACTCTGGGACTGTGTAGACAAAAAGGAATAATCTGTGTTTAGAACTGTCCAGTAGATGCAACTAAAGTAGCAAGAAAATAAGCACAGAAGTTGCTTGGATTTCCTCCATGGTAAGGCTGGTCATTTCTTTTGCCTCCCACTCATCAGTCCCTTCTTTTCTCAGCAGTCTGCTCTGCTGCTGATTCAGTCCTTAAGCAGAAGATTCCTACTGCACCTGCAAATTCTCATCTGTCAAGCATTTCTGTTACTTCTTAGATGATTCCTTTGTCTGTTGAGATAAATAGCCCCGAAAAGCAATGAAAACAGCAGGTCAGTGTTGTGTTTGGGGAAAACCCAGAAATGCTCATCTTTATAGTACTTTGCAGCTTTCATCTCCTTGGATGATACATTCTCTTTCATCTCTTTCTTGATGTTTATTCTGTCACCTGTTTCCCTCCTATGAACAGTGTAGAGTCTTATGGGTGTTTTAAGTGAAAAAACAGCTCCTGGAAGCCTGGTACACAGAAGGAGAAGACAAGAGTTATGTGATTTTAGTATTACTTCAGGTCACAGAAACCTGACTAGATATAAACTTGCTGGAAATCTATGAGAAGAAAGCAAAAATAATTTGCTAAGCCACTGATAGCAAACATTCCCTTTCTAGAGCTCTTAGCTTTTCTAAGAGTGATAAGAAAATTAACAGAAAGGAGTGAAGCAGAAGACCTGAGATTCTCAGGTAAGAAAATAATTTGCTCAGATGGACCTGTTTATTATGAATGCTGAACGTAGCAAAGGTCTGCTACCATTCCAGTTAGCTCTCTGGCACCGATCTGTCTCAACAGAAAGTCTAAAGTATCATTGGTTGTTTACAATTTATTCTGTTAGACACAAGCAGCTATTAACAACACAGGACCAGCACCTTCTATAGCATCAAAGACTACTGTGACCAACTAAGTTAGTCTTAACTAAAATTTGGGTTGAAATTAGTAAGATTTTATAAGTAGAATGCAGTCACATGAAATGCTACAGATGTATATTAGCTCTTTCCCTTTTTAAAAGTGTTAAGACCAAAATGCATGGATAGGTCATGCAACAGACTTAATCAGTATCTTGTCATTATCATATTCAGTAGTTCATGTATATACACATGCTTGTTATTTCATGACTGTTCTTCAGATTGCATCTGTCACCCTTGTTTCTCATATCTGCGGCAGAATAATCCAGAAAAAATTGCCTAAAGCATGTTTGCACATCTTCCTCTGTGTACTATACACACTGAACTCCACATTGCCTAGAGTACAGGAAAACTAGGAATTATGAAACACACTTGAAGGAGTGTGAAAAGATCGCCCAGACACAGACCATCGCCTCTACATTGTTTCCTGTGGAGACTACCTTCAGAGCAGCTAAGGCTACACTGGGAATCTGGAGGGATGTGGAGTAAAAAAAAAAATTCCTCCTTGCTCAGGAGACCAGCTTTCCTCTTGGCAGTCTGAGACTGCAGGCCTAAACATGGTCTCCACCAGACAGCAGGCTTATTCCAAGACGACCATGGCAAGGAAAGACTGCCCAGAATGTGGCAGTTCAGGTCTCCAGTTGCAGGGAGTGCCTGACCCTGCTGCTGACTGGGGAGAGGGCAGGGATTCCACCTGTATGACATGTGAGCAGGTGGATGAGCTGCTCAGCCTGGTGGTGGAGCTCAAGGAGGAAGTCCAGAGACTAAGGACCATCAGGGAGTGTGAGCAGGAGATGACTGGTGAAGTGACTTGCCAGCATGCTGGAGGGAACGGTGCCAGGGAGACGCGCCCAGAAAAGAGGTGGAGCCCCTGTCCCGTCACAGTCAGACAGACCTGACTGATGAGGATTGGAACAGAGTCCTGACTTGGAGTTACGGAGCCCTCCCTGTCTGCCTACCTCGCTTCCCCAGGTCCCTCTAAGCCATAGGTGCTAGAAATTGAAGGGGAGGCGAGTGGGGAGGCAATGGAGGATCTGCCTACGAGGGAGCCTAAGGCAAGGTGGTCACCTTCATGCCTTGAGACTGCCTCTATCAGGAAAGAAAGAAGGGTGGTTGTAGTGGGTGACTCTCTTCTCGGAGGAACGGAGGGCCCCATATGCAGATTGGACCTGAACTGCCAGGAAGTGTGCTGCCTTCTGGGGCCCGGGTCAGGGACATAACCAGGAAACCACCAAAGCTGGTTAGGTCCACTGATTATTTTCCTTTGCTCATAGTTCAGGGGGGCAGTGATGAAATTGCTCAGAGAAGCCTGCCAACTATGAAAAGACATTTCAGGGGTTTAAGCTGTTTAGTTCGAGAAGCAGGAGCACAAGTGATCTTTTGTTCTATACCTTCAGGGGCAGAGAGGGACACGGAGTGGGCTTATTGAAAGAACTTTAAACTAGCTACAACACGGGAAGGGGACAAAACAGGGCTCACCAGATGTGAGCCCAGGGAAATGATCTTGAGCTGGGCGTGAGGCAGATGACTCAGCTGAAGTGTGTCTACACCAATGCACTCAGCATGGGCAATGAGCAGGAGGAGTTAGAAGCAATTGTGCGCCAGGCTAAAAATGTTCTAGTTGCCATTAGCAAAACTTGGTGGGATCACTGGAGTGCTTTGATAATGACTACAAGCTCTTCAGAAGGGATAGATGAGAAAGGAAGGAGGGTGGAGTGTCCCTTTATATTAAAGACTATTTTGATGTTGAAGAGCTTGGGGTTGGGAATGATGAAGTTGAGTGTCTGTGGGTAAGAATCAGGGGAAGGCCTGTAGGGGCAACATATGGTGGGGATCTGTTATAGACCGCCTAATCATTATGAAGAGATGGATGAAGTGTTCTATGAGCAGCTTGCAGAAGTCGTAGGATCTCCAGAACTCTCATGGGAGACTTCAACTTCCCTGATATACGTTGGAAATATAACACAGCACAGAGGAAGCAATCCAAGAGCTTTCTAGAGTGTGTGGAAGATAGCGGGAAA